TGGTATGTTATTCTAGCCATATGCGCACATGCATATAGATATGGGGACTGACAAACGCTTAGAACTACTACTGCGCCTATGTCGGAGCTTTTGGAGAGTTCTCCTGTAACCCACGGACCTTGGGCTCGACCCATTTGAACCGGATGATCTCCCTTGAGGGCATTGTGACAAAATGCTCATTGGTCCGGCCAAAGATTATACAGAGTGTGCATTATAGCGAAAGGAAAGACAGGTTCTTGTCGAGGAAATATAGGGATCAAACAATGACGGCTAGCGGAGCGACAAGCTTGAATGTTTACCCCCAGGAAGATGATGAGAAGAATCCGGTATGTCCAACTTTATCGACGTGTATTGACTGTATCCAGCTAATTATGAGTTTTGTCTTTCAGCTCATCACAGAATACGGCTACTCGACATACATGGATCACCAAACCATTTCAATTCAAGAAATGCCCGAGAGAGCACCGGCTGGACAACTGCCCCGGAGTGTTGATGTGATCTTAGATGATGATCTTGTGGACCGAGCTAAGCCTGGTGACAGAATTCAGTTGGTAGGAATTTACCGGTCTCTGGGAAATCGAAACGCAAACTCGGGCTCGTCGACATTCCGCACACTTGTTTTGGCAAACAACATTATCCAGTTATCATCGAAATCCGGCGGAGGGATTGCGCAAGCCACCATTACCGACACTGATATTCGCAACATCAACAAAGTTTCCAAGAAAAAGAACGTTTTCGAGTTGATGTCTCACTCCCTCGCGCCGAGTATCTACGGTCACGACTATATCAAGAAGGCAATCTTGCTCATGCTGCTTGGTGGTATGGAGAAAAACCTCGATAATGGAACACACTTGCGTGGTGACATCAACATCATGATGGTTGGTGATCCCTCAACAGCCAAATCTCAGCTCCTCCGTTTCGTTTTGAATACTGCACCCTTGGCAATTGCAACAACCGGACGAGGTTCATCGGGTGTCGGTCTTACGGCCGCTGTTACGTCTGATAAGGAGACTGGAGAGCGCAGACTGGAAGCTGGTGCAATGGTTCTTGGAGACCGCGGTGTGGTCTGTATTGATGAGTTTGATAAAATGAGTGATGTGGATCGCGTGGCGATTCACGAAGTCATGGAACAGCAGACCGTTACCATCGCGAAGGCTGGTATTCACACTAGTCTGAATGCTCGTTGCAGTGTCCTGGCGGCCGCTAATCCCATCTACGGACAATACGACCCCCACAAGGACCCGCACAAGAACATCGCCTTGCCAGACTCTCTTTTGTCTCGTTTCGATTTGCTTTTCGTGGTGACAGACGACATTGAAGATTCCAAGGACAGGATGGTGTCCGAGCACGTCCTTCGTATGCATCGTTACCGTCAGCCTGGCCTTGAAGAGGGTGCTCCCGTTAGGGAACAACTCAATCAGACCTTGGGTGTTGGACTCGAGGACAATCAGGATTCAAACCAGCCCACAGAGGTGTATGAAAAGTTCAATGCCATGCTCCACGCTGGCATGGCCAACACAGGTCGGGGCAAGAAGAAGGACGTTGAAATTCTGAGCATTCCATTTATCAAGAAATACGTTCAATACGCTAAGTCGAGAGTCAAGCCCGTGTTGACTAAGGGAGCCGCTGATCACATTGTCACCACCTACTCGGCGCTGAGAAACGATGAACTATCTGGTAATCAGCGCAGGACATCGCCTATCACCGCGCGTACCTTGGAGACATTGATTCGTCTGGCTACCGCACATGCCAAGTCCCGTTTGTCTAACAGAGTTGAAGAACGGGATGCAAAGGTTGCGGAGTCTCTCCTGCGTTTTGCTATGTTCAAGGAGGTTCTCGAAGACGAACGCCGTAAGAGGAGAAAGGTCACTACTTTCGACGAGGATTCCGAGAGCGAGTCAGAGGAGGACTCTGACGAGGATGATACTCCCGCGCAAACTGCAAGTGCCACCCCGCGGTCAAGCCGAAGAAGTGGAACACTGCGCACGCGTGCAGCTGCGAACCGTGCCACTACCGATGAAATGGACGCGGATGGAGACGATGCTTCGGAAGATGGCGACGGTCTATACAGCTCCAGTCCTCGTGGTCAACGGTTACGGTCGAGCCAGGGCACACGTACTCAAACGCAAAGCCAGTCTCAGATGTCTGTAGCATCTTCTCAACCAGCCTCACAACTCATCGACTCCCAGACAGATACTTCTCAGCCCCAGACGTCGTCTGCTAGTGCATCCCAGCCGATACAGCCTGCTCGTCTGACGGTCTTCCGCCAGGCTCTGGGCCCGCTCATGGGTACACGGCTGTTTGCCACTGGTGACACCGCTGACGTGGAAGAGCTCATCGGGGCTGTGAACACGGCAGTGCGTGGAACACGATCTCTCGGAGAGAGCCATGTGTTCCAGCGTCCTGAAGCAATCCAGGCCTTGAGGGCCATGAACGAGCGAAATGAATTGATGTAAGTGCCCACGACCCAAAGACACTCACGTCAAGAACTCATAACATGACTAACATTAAATCTATAGGTTCCTTGAGGATGACGAGACCGTTTACAGAATTTAATAGCATAGAAAACTGGATGGAGTTTCAGTTGTATGGTCGACTTTTGATTGGGAGCTGGAAAGGGATTTATGTCGGACACGTTAACTAATGTCACTTTCATCCCCATCGACGGGTTAGTTTGGCGTTTCGGGGGAGTTTTAGTCTATACATTGCAGATGTCAATTGGCCCTGGCATTAAGTTCTGGTCCTGGCATTTCGTGTAATAAACTTTCGTTCCTTGCATAATACCTGAAGTATAATCCTTGGAGCTGCTTGGTTCTTTGTCCGGTACGACTTCAATACATCCACGACTGTCGACGTAATTGTAGAGATTTCGATATTATATCACGGAACAGTATGTCTTCTTACCCATTCCCATCTTCTACTGAGCCGTATGCTTCATTATCGGCCCACTTCTGCAAGCAAGATAAGATCATTGAAGATATAGACAAAAAATGAATTATTAAACCGAGATAGAGAAGTAGAATGAGAGAAGAGTGTTAAAAAACAGATGGCATAGAACATAGTCACACTTTTTTGTACGGACATGCTATGATGCATCCAACGTTAGAAACCGGGGTATAGATTCAAAGCTTGAATTACAACTTATATGCTAGGTTCCTCATCTTTGACTTTATCGGCCTCTGCTAAGAAACCAGAGTCGTCAGACGAGAAAGACGATGTACGCACACCTTCACTAATCTGTGCTTGTGTGAGGGGTGACACTCCCCGGGAAAGAGTCTTGGACTTCTTCTTGCGGTGTTGGTGTCCTTGCTCGGAGCCTGACGCCGTAGAATTAGGGGTTAGGCTTCCCCGACGGGGCCGGCTACTCGCAGACGACCTTGACGGAGGACGGTCATCAGTATCTACGGGGGTGGTACTTCGGGACGGCGTCCGTGAGTGCGAGTCCGAGCGCGTGCTACGCCGGGCAGGCGATTTCGGCTCGTGGCTGAGCCTAGAGATGCTCGAGTGGTGGGAATGGCGATGGTGGGCTTTTTCGTCAGCGGACTTGGTGATCGTCGCTGCGGCGGCTCGCCGGCGCTGTGACGCCTTCCATCCAATGCCAAACCACCAGAACCAGCCGCCGTCCTGCTGAGCTAGTTGGCGTTCCTTCTGGCGCAGTTTTTGGCGCAGTTGGGCACGCCGTTCGTTCTCCTTTTCCCAGAACTCGGTGCGGTAGTCATCCCAGTTCCCGCGGAACTCCGGCGAGAATGACTTGGGGAGGAGCAGTAGTCGGATATAATCACCTCCCGGACTGAGGTCTTCCTCCACCAGGCCCGACTCCATGTCCATGTTGTAGTACGGCTGGTGGTGCTGCCGACCGCCAACGCGTTTCTCCGACGCAGGCCGCTCAATATAGTGGAAGTCTCCGGCTGGGGAAGGGAAGAGCGGAATTGAAAAGGGGAAGAGGAAGGAGAGATAGGATAACAGCTCCTGCCACCAGGGACCGCGGATCACAACGATCTTGGTGTTCATCGTGCGAAGGCCGCGGTTGGCGACGGCGAGCCAGCGCCGCGGCCAACGTACCCCACGCTCCCATTGCCCCGTGCCCCAGACCAGCAGTGCAGTGACCACTCCGCCGAGCAGCGCAACCTTCTCCCACATCTCCACCACCCAGTACACGGAGCCGCCTACCCCGCGGCCATCTTCGCGAGGACGGAGGAACAGCGCGTAGGCAAAGTAGGTGATCCAGGCAGCAAGCAGCAGGAGAAAAAACGTGTTCTGCCGCCGGCGTTCTCGCAGCGCAAGGTATTGAGCCCGAAGGGAGCTTTCTAGGATGAGCAGGTTTAGGTAGATCTGAGGTGGAGAGGAGGGCAACGTGGACAGCGGGTCCGGTGTTGACGGGCGTGGCGGGGAAGACAGATCAGAAGAATTCTGAGGGTACGACTGTGGAGCAGAGTTCAAAGTGTCGGACGATGTTGATGAGGGCGAGAGATGATTTGCAGGAGCCGGTGACCCTTTGACCAGGTGATCCAGGCTTGCGGAGGCCATGTCCGCGACAGTAGAGGAGAAGAAGGGCACCAGAGAAATCGAAACAACTTTTGAAGCAAATGGGAAACGGACGGAGAACAAATACACTGAAGGATCAGAACAGCACGGCCTTCACGGCCAGGCGCTATCTCACAGCATGGAAGTAAACGAGTGAGAGCACGAAGGAGCGCAGACTAGATGGAATGGAGAGAAACGTTGAACTGTTGGAATGGTGGATTTAGTTGGACGCCGACAATAGATTACCGTCGGTATCGTATTGGTTCGGTATGGCTCTCGGAACAAGTCGACTGTCACATGATGGACGGGACATCTTTAAACAAGAAACAAGACCAATAATCCCTTGATATTCATAGTCTAACTGTATACATTATTATGCATATTCACTTGCCGTTAACACCGTGTAACCCGACAAAAGTAATCCAGAATCGCTCTTTATAAACAGTACATAATCAATCAAAGAAATCTATGCCTTTTTATTGTGCAGCCTTGCGATCCACGTCTTCCATCTCGGACAGAACCAAGCTGTTAAACTCTTCCCATCCATCCAAATAGACATGGTGGCCCGAATTCTTAATGACCACAACCTTGGCTGAGCCGTGGTCCGCATTTCGCTCTTCCGGGGTTGCGTTCTGAAGCACCTTGCGCTTCTCTGCATCAAGCTTGGCTTTTGCTGCCATTCCACCTTTCACATCCATCCAGTCATGATCGCCATACATGAAGACTATGGGGAGACCGTTTTCGCGCTTGGCGGGCGTTGACAAAGACGAGCCTGAAGCTATGGTAGAGTCGGGCTGGGGCAAGTTCTGGCGAGATGACTCTATGGATTGTGTAGATTCTTGCGTAGAGGATGAGGGCGTCTGAAGCATCTGTCTTCCCACCCCTTGAATGCGTCTGATTAGAGGGCTGCGTGCAAAGGCACCAGGGGCGAGAATATATGCGAGCGCATACTCTCCACTGCCCCGTTGACTGAAGATCGAATACGAGTAATCATGGAGGGCCTTGGCCTCGTCTGCAGGTAAATGAGAAAATCGCCGGGACGTCCAGCCTGATACAAGTCGCGGGCCTAAGGGACCCGCCCAGCGAATTAAACTGAAGGGAGATATGTTGGCATCCCAAAGGTAGGCAAACCACTTGGGAACCATCCGTCGGGGACGCTGATCGGGAGCAGCACTACCTGTCGGTGGGCCTTTCAGGAGGATATTGTTGTCACCTTTCTGAATTGTCTCGGGTGGCACTGATGAAGCTGAGTCTGCGATGTTGCGTTGATCCTGGGAGAATTCGGTGGCCATCGTGGACTCGGACGGCATATCTGCCGACACAGCATATGGGTCTTCTGGAATTCCAACTGGTGAAGCTAAGATGAGCTTGTTCAAGCGACCAGGATATTTGAGGGCATAGCGACCGCCATGTAACCTCCCAAACTGTGGCCGAGCAAAGTAAAGCGATCGATTTTGCGTTTGATGCGCCATTCCTCCAGGGCGTCCACAAACCAAGCCTCCGCCTCTCTGATGGCATCTTCACGGTCTTTCGCCTTGATACGGAACGGCGGCCGTGTGCTACGGCCCATTCCCAGCAAGTCTAGCGCATGTAGTTGCCACCCTTTCAGTCGGCTCAAAGGCTCAAAATTCTTGTAGAAGAAGCCCAACCCGGCTCCATATCCATGGATCATAACCAAGTGCTGGTTTGCTTCCTCCCCAATTCGTTCGACGGAGAATTCGTTGAGAGCTCGATTTTTGCCGCTTAGCTCGACCATGCTGGAGCGCCACCTCCGAGGGCCATAAGGATCGTTGAGTGAATTGGCCGCTACCTCGCCCTCCTGGCTGTGATCGGCTGATTGTAGGCTCCCTGGTTCGCCACTTGCGAGATTACTCGTTTTTCCGGTTTGCAAATGCGTAGGGGGTTCATGTTGAAGGTAGGGCAAGTATGAAAGAACCTTATGCTCGGCTGCGGCAGCCGGCAGACACGACCACTGGAGAACCCCATCTCAGTGACTGACACTTGAGCTTATTTCCAGGTTTTACAACGTACCCATTGACTGAAGCCTTCTCTGTAACCTAGTGGGAACCAGGCTGAGGGTGGCGGGGTTGCGCTGGCTCCGCGAGCCGCGTGAGGAGTACCGCCCTGGTGGGAGGCTAAATCGTCCTTGGACGATTCCAAGGATTGCGAGGCCATCGACGATGAGTAGCGACCAAAGGCAAAGGGGCTAGATGACGTTAAGAGGTGTGGATGTTCGAATGCGGCCCAGGATCGAGTGGCCTGAGAGGTAAGCGAAGAAAGTCGCGCGGTAGACACCTTGTCGCGCAGAGCAGAGAGTGACAGAGTAGTATTCTCTGTCACCCGCAGAGAGAGAGAGAGTAGGAGAAAATTAAGGGCAGCCGCGGGATTTATATGGAGGGTAATCAAGGCCCGTAGAGACCAGCAAAGGCGAATATCGGGGCGGATGAGAAGCCAAAAACCGCTTATGTCCGAACCAATCGACCTAACCCCGAAACAGGCACCGATGGATGACGAAGGATAGAGAACAAAAAGAATGTCGAGGGATTGAGGCTCAGCGAGAAGTTAATCTAGAATAGAAAGGGTGGCGGAGGACCGTGTAGACAACGTACTATACATGGATAAAAATGACAGCAAGCAAAAAGATAATTATAAAGGAATGATTGGGCGGAAGTGAGAAGTGGGAACCCCAACAGAGGATGATGACGCTCAACTGTTCCTGCTGGAACATCCCGAGGGTATTGTATCGTATCGTACCCGAACACTACCACTCGTACGGAGGACATACCAAGTACAAAGTACCTACGTATGTACACTTACTAGTATGCTACTATACTCGGAATGGGTCTTCTGGCAATTAATTTATTTCCATTGGGGATTTCACGAATATTTGACGATCCCTATGACCTCCTCTGATTATTCTACCGACATTTCCTAGAGAAAGCTTCGGTATATTATCACAACAAATCCGCCTCTCATCACTAACCCGCTCAAGTCCTAGGAAGACCTCACGATTCGAGCGCTTGAATTGGGACCAGATATGCTCCTCCGACGATATCTCACTCCACCAGGATAGTGCGCCATGGCCCTACCCATAGCTCTCGGGGACCTGTTTTCTTCAATCGGTGTCGTGCTCCCCGGCGTTGTGGTTCTGCTGCTAACTCCGCTGTTAGGTCGTAAACTGAAGTAACCGCCAGAGCCATCGGCTGGACTAACAACGTAGTTGTTGGTCTGGGAGGAGCTCAACATAACGGAAGGAATGTCTCCTATTGATTGTCGTGACTGTGAGTGTGGCGATACTGCTCTTGACCGGGATTCAAATGCAGGATTGTCCGACCGAATCGATAGAGCCAGTGATAATGAGTTCGGAGTGCGGATGTTTAGGCTCGACAACACCGATGTGGTAGCTGAGCGGCGATGGTGGGGACCATGGCTATCATCAGGACTGGCCAGTATTTGTCTATGCCTCCAGGGTAGCGAATGCTCCGAAAGCTCGTTATTCCTCATGCCAAGTGGTTGTGATGGTAATTCCAACCGATTATTGATCGAAAGCCAGGCCCTCTCATCGGCCTCCTCACTTACGCTGTTACTGGAAGAGGAAGACACGGATCTTGAATTAAGTCCATAGACTTTAGAGGATGACGTCCAACAGCGCCATCCGCCTACGCCCTCGAAGTCCCTCCTCTCGTCGCCACTAATCAGGCCGAGGAAGCCGCGCAATGACGGGTAGTAACCATTTTTATGATGCTCTGCTCTTCGGATTCGCCGTCCGTCAATGTCGTGGAGTGTACTATCCTGGTCATTTGGTTCTTCCAAATGTGAACTGTTGCGTCGCTGGCCGCGTCCTGGTCGGCTATGGCTAGGGGAAACAGGGTTGGACTGGTGGCAACTGGGGTCTGAGAAATGGATGGTCCTGCCGTAATCCAATGACCGGCGCTTTGGTGTTGTAGCAGCTAACGGGGTCGTGGGTTCAGAGGGGGCGAAGTTTAAGAGGGACGAGGTGTTGGAGGTGGGAATGACAAAATAGCTCGCGATGATCGCATAGCATAGTTCGATGTAGATCACCGAAAGCCGTAGAAACAGAGCCAGCACCGAAAAGCAGATGGTAATATAAGCTGATATAACGAGAGGTATGGAGACGAGGGCAAGGAATGGTAGTGTAAAGAAAGTGGTGGTTGACATGAAGGCTTGCAACGAGTATATATAGTACTAGATCTCTAAACCCGAGGGATAGATATAACAGATAGCAAATGAGCCACGCTATGCGATACCAAACTGTGTGATATGAATCGTTAAGAAGAAGACATCTTGATCTTTGAAGAGGGAGACAAAGAAGAATAAGAAAAGGAGAATCCTTGTCGTGCTCGACCCATCGGCTTACTTTGGTGAACAATAACCATAAAATGCGGAGAAGGAGCATGTGACGACTGTATGCCTCAGGCAGCAATTTATGGAGGGGATGAAGCTAGAACGATTTATTACATCACAGCCCCCAGAGCCGGTATTTATTGAGCCTTTCTGTCCTCGGAAAAAAAAAGAAAAAATACTGCCAACGCAATTCTAATTAGCATGACACCCCAGGAAATTCAAGATGGGACAGGTTTTCCCTGGGATATTGGGGTGTTCGATGCCCATTGTCATCCCACCGATACTATGTCATCCATTGCGGAGATTCCTAGCATGCGGGCAACAACGCTCACAGTCATGGCTACTCGGGGAGAAGACCAAGAATTAGTGCACCAGACTGCGGTGTCTCTCACAGGTGGACAGTTACCATCGAATCCGGGACAAAGTATCGGACGTGTACTGCCTTGCTTTGGCTGGCATCCTTGGTTTTCCCACCAGATCCTTGACGATACGGGGAAAACAGAAACTGAGGGCATATCGGCATCTGACAAGAAACTGGTGCATTATAGCAAAGTCCTTACTCCATCACCAGCGGATACTTTCATATCTGCTCTACCTGACCCCAAACCGCTTTCACAGCTTATCTCAGAAACACGCGAGCGGTTGCTAAACCATCCCGCCGCTCTTGTGGGAGAAGTTGGTCTTGACCGTGCTTTTAGACTTCCCCAAGCCTGGACGCAGCAAGAGAAGGAGGGTCGTGATTCACAGATGACCCCCGGGTCTCGCGAAGGTCGAGCCCTTTCTCCTCATAGAGTTCAGCTAGAACATCAAAAGGCAGTGCTAGAAGCCCAGTTACGCCTGGCGGGAGAATTTCAGCGGCCGGTCTCTGTACACAGCGTTCAATGTCACGGAGCAGTATTTGATCTTTTCAAGAAGTTGTGGACTGGCCATGAGCGAAAGAAGCCGTCGCGACGGGAGAGGGCACGGCGTTACAGTGCCGCAAATGCTCACACGCAGAGTGATACGGAGGATGAGCAACAAAAGCTGACCAAAGCCGAAAAACTACCGCTTCCTTTCCCGCCAAGAATCTGTATGCATTCGTATTCAGGTCCCGTGGAACCTCTGAAGCAATTCTTGAATCCGTCAAACCCTTCAGACGTGTATTTCTCATTCTCCACTGTGATCAACTTCAACGGACCGTCGCCCCAAAAAATCATCGAGGTCATCAAAGCCTTACCGGATGACCGGATCCTCATAGAAAGTGACTTGCACACCGCTGGGCAGCAGATGGATGATTTGTTGGAAGAAGTCGCTCGGCAGATCTGTGAGTTGCGTGCATGGGATTTGCACCAGGGGGTTCAGCAGCTTGCCGAAAATTGGAAGAGATTCGTCTTCGGTTGAAGATATTGGTATTCTTGAGCAGCGTTTGAGGATGCGTGCCTGTCGATAAGTTGGTAGCACTGTACATAGCGTCCTGTCGTGGATGAGGTTTTCGAAGACCGATGGACGTGTAGAAGATAGAGCCCAGATAACTTAATAGCAACCTAGATGACAGCTCACTGATAGAGCATATGCGTAGGTATGTGTGTGATCCAAGAGAATTGTGGTACGATTCGTGCGACGGGTCTATGTAGCACCATCACCATCTAGAATGAGTCTCTATCTGTGCGTCTTATTGGAGACATGAGGTGGTTAGAATCACTAGAGCTACTATTAAGATGGTATCCTGACTCTATTCTCAGTGATTGGAGTTAAAGAGAGTCTGTAGTATAGAATCCTAAGAATAAAAGGGGACTAGGCCGGCCTATGTGCTTGGTAGCGGTGACCATAAAAATAAGCGTGACGCCCGTGGCACGGTCGGTTTCCGGCCGCCGATAAGTTGTGGAAAGATAGGGAACTCAATTAGTCCCCGAAGTATAGATTCCATGTCGCTGATTGGTGCATGGTGGCTATCAGCCATTCAGTATCTCTTGGTTGAGTCCCCACTCGTCCCAGAATATCGAAAATTATGAATAATAATGAGAATGGCATAATAACGTTCACGACTTGGCACTGAGGGAACGGACTCACAATGTGGTTCATGGCCAATTTACAAGCTTTTTATGAACCTGCACACCAAAGGAAGGGATGGACGAAAGTTACCAGTAAGATCGATTAGGATTATGTATTGGATACTTGACCTCTCGTGATCTTTTCCCAATTCGAACTTCTCCGCACACACGTGACCTGCCCCAGACTCGCCGGCAGATGCCCCACCACTAGTTCTCCGGCTCTATCGATTTCTCCTCTTCCTTCCCTTTTTCTTACGTTTCACAATCCTCCATTGCCACTCTCTCCTTGATCATGTCTTGAAAACAAACTATCTTTTCATCCCTAGGACTGCTCCGATTATCAATGATGAAGTTGCTAGTCCTCGGACCCTGAACCCGCGTCGATGCTTTGCTATGTCCTCCACCGCGCATAACAGCCAACCATCCACCGGCAATGGTGTGACTAAACGCAAGTCAGGTACGCACCGCGGTCACCACCCATCATGATTCTTTTGTCTGTGTGCGGTTATGCTGACTCAACCCGATTTAGGCTCTGCAGCCTGTATTCACTGTCATCGGCGTAAAGTCCGATGCGATGCTCGCATTGTCGGTTTACCTTGTTCGAATTGTCGCTCTGCGGGAAAGGCGGATTGCCGCATCCACGAGAAGAAAAAACGCCTGGCTGTGCGCTCCATCCTTGATCCAGTTCCCATTCGCTGTCGTCCACCCCTTGACTCCGATTCTACTCCCACGCCGTTACCATCCACGCCTATCCAGCCGAATGCTTTCACAACTGCCTTT